AACAAGGATCCCGGCTCTCCATTGTTCTTGCTAATTGCCACCCCACCGCCCGTAACCATTCGCTCTCGATGTGGTGCGGCCGCTTTCCGAATCGTTTCGAATCCAGCTCCCTTCCTCATATAATGATCGAATAGAGCCCGGCTCTCGGTAGTTACAAGTCTCAACGCAAATACCACCTTCGATACTGTATACCTTTGTGAAACGAAAATTAGCCGAGCGAACAGGATCATCCCCTCATCTCTTCGTCCCCTTGTTCGCTTGTCCTAAAGGAAGGTTCGTTTCATCGCATAACGAAACTATTTTAGTTGTTTCCCTTTCAAACGGATACATTTTAGGCGATTACTCTCGAGATAATCTCCGTACAGGTATTTATTTATACGTATTACTGTGGTGACGACAAAAGCATTCTTCTATAGTTAATTTATATGTATTGGGAGGATTATGCTTTAGACAACTTTTGCTCCAGCTTTAAGGTGACAGCTGACGATATATTAGTTTCACCAATGCTTCAGGTAATGAATTCAGGAAGGAAACCACTCGACTCCCTCCGGTCCAAGTGATTCGTTTTCCTTTCAAATAATTAATATTCTGAAATTGTTCTAAAACCTCGATAAAAAAGTATCAAATGAATCGTACGATAGATTTTAGGCGAAAGTCAAGTTTCTCACGAATCGCTATGGGCGCGCGAGCTTCTTGCAGACGAAGAGGAAGGTTCCTGCAGACCGGTCCTCTTCGGCCTCTTCATCATCAGCGCTCTTTCGACTTTCAGCCACTCCTTTCGCAAATCTTTCCACGATGATGAACTGACCGCCCCTTTTTTCTTTTTGCACAACTTCACGGGTTCGTACCAGCTCTTCCGCTCCTAAATATACGAACAGGTGTCTCGCCGCTATGCTATATCCATATAGCACAGAAGATTAAAGCAATATTGCTGCAATGTTGCAATATTGCAGATTGCAGAGATATTATAGAAATGTAAATTAACAATATGCCTGTAAAATGTCAATATAATATACCTGTAATATTCCAGAAACATTGCAAAACTGTAATTCTTTAATTGTTACAATAACAATAACATAAAAATAATTTTTTACAATATTTATGTACGAGTAGTACAGTCTTTTCGTTTAACACCCGTTTTATGATATAATAATTAATATAATCCATTTTTATATTTAAACAAAAAATTTATTGATCTATTATTTGACGGCCATTTTATTAGCTAAGTTTTAAATTTATTTTAAAGATGAAATTAAAAGATTGTATTATATCGAGTTTGGATATAATCAACGCATCATTATTGGATAAGACGATAAGCAATTAAGCTGCTGAAAATGATTTATCGAAATATTAATTATGTGAACGCAGGAATAAACCAGCGCCCGAACTTTATTGATTCATACCGTCATTTTTTAATCGATTTCTATTGACTCGGAGTGACTTCGAATTAAAAAGAATCACTACGATTAACTTAATCCATGATTAACTTACCAAGTAACTGTTATTATGTTAATGTGGATAATATTTGTAGTTCGTTCGGGTGCACACATACATGTTTTAATTATCCTTGTAAATCAATATATCCTTCAGAATGAATACGTATTTATTGGAATCTTTTATGGTTTTATCATAAAAAATTGCTTTTGAAAAGCACATATTACTAGAAATGCGATTTGTAGAAAAATTACAATTAATGAAATATATGTACAGAAAATAGTTTCCATTTTAGAGTCTTTGTAAAAAATTTATTCAAATAAATTTCATTGCAATGTTCCTGGAACGTTTCATTAATATAACAATATAACAAAGCAATATAACAAAAAGTGGATATCTTAACATTGTTGGAATCTTGCAGCAATGATTCAGCAATGTTTCGCAATCATCATGCGAATATCACCAATATTGCAATGTTTCAATGAAATCATTCTGCAATGCTTCTGCAATCTTTCTGTGCTGTATGGATATATTGATAATCCGATCTTTTTAATCGTGATGAAATAACTTGAAAATCTATTTGCTACAGCATTTAACTTGGCTCTCTTTAATTCTTTCGTTATTCTTGCGAAACAAAGACGCGATTTGTTTTCGCTCTCACGCTAATTACCGTTACGCAGCTCGGTAGCGCTAATTTATAGAAAAGTGCCTTTGCTAATGCATTTGGTTCATTACAGAGAATTTGCAATGCTCTTACGCAAGGTAACGTTGCGCAATGTTCTCGTGAGTTACACTTATATTTGAAGAGACTCGTTAGCTTGATCGTTGCGCGCGGCACTGACATGTACATACATATCTACGCTTTAGATACCTATACATCCTACATATCGCGTACATATATAGGTCGTCACTCTTCTAATTGTAATATGTACAATATATGTATACAAATGATGAAATTTACATAATACAGTTGTGGTTTCTCTTCGTGCGAAGGCTTCGAATATATCGTGACACTTTAAATTGTTTTATCTTCCGTTATAGATTTGAATACGCGTGACAGACATTATTGAGTTATACTTGTACTTGTCGATATTTTTCGAGAGAAATACGTTATCTCACAGCAATTGGCATAATGACGAGTAGTGAAAAGCAAAGGGGGAGGAGGGAAATTTTTTCGTAAAACTATTAACTCTACGCGTAATGTACTCCATTTGTCGAGTGGAAATTAAATTGTAACGTCGCATTACAAATGTATGTATATCCCATACAGCACAGAAAGATTGTAGAAACATTGTAGAATGATTTCACTGAAACATTACAATATGGTAGTTGTGAAGTGTTGCTGAATTATTGTTGCAAAATTCCAACAATGTTAAAATGTGCTTTTTGTTATATTGCAACAAAACATTCCAGCAATATATATTACATGTAATGTATTTGGATAAAGTTTTTACGAAGACTCTAAAATGAGAACTATTTCTATACATATATCTCACTAATTTTAATTTTTCTACAAATCGCATTTCTAGTGATATGTGCTTTCCAAAAGCAATTTTTTATGATAAAACTATAAAAGATTCCAATAAATATAGTATTAATTCTGAAGGATAAATTTATTCGTAGGATAAAGCATGTATGTGTGTGCCAAGAACCAACCACAAATATTATCCACATTAATATAATAATCGCTTGATAAGTTAATTATGGATTAAGTTAATCGCAGTGATTCTTTTTAATTCGGAACCACTCCGAATCAATTGAAATCGATTAAAAAATGACGGTATAAAATTTATCAATAAAGCACTGTTTGTGGAATATTACAAGCATATTACTGACGCTTTGCAGGCATATTGTTAATTTACATTTCTGTAATATCTCTGCAATGTTACATTGCAATCTGCAATATTGCTTCAATCTTCTGTGTTGTATGGGATCGAACAAAATCAACGAAATATTCACGTCAAAGTCTCGCCGGTGGGATCCAATACTCGAAGAACACTTTAATATCGAAGGAACCGGGGAGAGGGGGGGGGGGAGAAAAAAGCAGACGCGAAGGAAGAGATCGTATAACTCGGCCACGTCGTATCGATGCTGGGCTCTGAACCGAGTCAGGGAATAATTAATATACCATAGACGCATAACGAACGACTCTGCGATGCAGTCTGTTTGTTTTCGGATGGCTCTTCGCCTTTTCCCTGGCCTCAGGGGCTTGTCGGTCGTATCTCTCTTCAGTCGGGCTCCTCGACCTCCCGCTGCTTCCCCCTAGTTCCTTTTTTTCCTTTTTATTTTAAACGCGCATATGGGACTGTACATACGTACCCCTCGACGCGCGACGGCGACGGCCTCTTTGAATTTTTCCTTTTGGAAAGCTACCGTTCTTTATTTCGATTCACAATCGCACATTTTAAAAAATACATATTTCAAGTCATATTACACGCTAAATTCAAACGTACATCTGTAGAAAGAATTTTAGCAAAGTGATTCGCTCGAAAAAGAAATATTCCATATTCTTTTTTACTTTGATAAAATAACTTGATAAAGCGAAGCAAAAAGCGAACAAGAAATCTTACAAGGCATAGAAATATTTCCAGCTATTCGACGTGTAAAATTGAAATTTAACATCCTTGTAACTTTTCACGTCACGAGTTATGTAGTAATTTCCCAATTTGCGACACGTATTCAATGGTATCCAATCGTTGCGGTGGAACGCGATGAAATTATCAAGTGGCCCTGTCTTCTTTCTCTCATGCGTGCATGGTATTTGATCAACAGAATTGCATCGAAAGATAAGAAAAAGAGAGAAAGGAGAGACACACGCGTGCACACAACGGAGCAGCGCCGCATGCCTTTCTCTCTCCCTCCATATATCCTCTCCACTTTAATCTTTCTTTTGTGACTCGGCTGTTTTAGCGTTTTTTAGTCCCCGATGAGCTGGACCCCGACTGCGAATGGAGAGAGGGGTCGACAGTTCGCAAGGCTCGCTCGCAAAGAAAGAGCGAGCGAGAGAGAAACGGAGACGGGCAAGGCATCGCTGCGGGCTTATTAGCAAGAAACCGGTGGAGAAAGACGAGGTCGCAAGCGGAACCCGATTTAAGATGGTAGATGGTAGATCGGGGGTTGCGGCAAGCCGCGGGCAAACGACGTCGAGCATGCTCGCGGATAAAGATGGCTTTGCAATATATCGCAATAAATGTCCCTCTCTCCCTCCCTCCCTTCCACTCCGTTCCGCTCCTCTCTTTTTCTCTTCATTTATTTCGTATGGTCCTCATTAACGCACAGTCACAGTCCAGCACAGTCAGAGGCTCAGAGGTCGCGGAGTCGTCGGGGAAGCCACCCTTGTTACGCATATTTATATGCCGCGTCGAGCATATATCTAAATATACGTTTCGATGCGGAACTCTCTCTCTCTCTCTCTCTCTCTCTCTCTCTCTCTCTCTCTCTCGATATTCTTGACCTTAACACAATTAACAAAGTTAATTTGTTAATTAATGCGATGTTTAAAGAAGATTCAATTCAACATATAATTTTTTCAAACCATTTTACAAGATTGATATTTTTCGTTGCAGGTTCCTCTAATGCAGGAGAAGTAAGATGCTATTGCAATCAACCAGAATGCGTTCCTCAAGGATACATGTGTCGCGGTAGGAGTTGCTTTACAAAATTACCATCGTACGTAAATGCATCACTTTCGAGAGCGGAGCATACTGCTCACAGCGGTTGTCTCGATGAAAATTTGATAAATCGTCAGTGCCCCGCAGGATTTCTCTGCTGTGATCAAGATCTCTGTAATCATGTGGACAGCCCCGCGATGAGAAACAGACTCAACAAGACTCTACGAGGTTCGAGACGAACGAGGCCTTTTCTTCCTTTCATCTCGCATGCTATTAGGCTATTACATTTTCAACATTTTCCATTTCACTTGTCACATTCTGTCATGTTGATTATCGTAATATCTATATACATCTGATGTTTAGGGCAATAAGTATATATATTGTCATGTGTGAATTAGAATGCTCCTTCAATTTTTTATAAAACATAAACCGAATTAAATTTCTTTTTTTAACACAAATATCTCTCCTTCTAAACTTTCAAAAAACCTATTCGTGTTCCTTTAACTTGTTTATTACTTGTTGATAATATCATTGCAGTATTAATCGATGCTCAACGACCGTACTTGGCTCCATTGCATCCAAATAATCGCGGAAATCAGGTGATTGACGGATGGTTCCCAACAGCAACGATCATCGTGGCTATCTGTGGATTCATCGTCCTGTTAATGATCGCCAGCCTAGCTGTCAGATGGCTCCAGCCTGTGCCGGCACAAAACGCAAATAAATTCGTGCCACATCGAACATCTAATAACGGGCCACCTTTACTTGGACCGCCGAAAGTGCCTTTGGTTTAAGAAATTTCATGACAAAGTTTCCCAATAAAAGGTGTTCTAAGTAATAGTTTAATTAATAGAGCTGGCTGCGCTAGTTTTGATACATGACTTGCAAAACCGGAGTTGTGCCATACACATACATTTGTGTAGCAAAGTATTTGTATACCGAATACTTGTACGTTAATATTAATTGAGGATAATTAAGTATATATAAGATTTCTTTACGATGGATGATATTATTCCAATTTAATTTCGTTTCAACTTTGTGGATTTTTTACAACATGTATATGAGAAACATAGCCTGTGTGTGTGTATGTGTGTGCGTATGCAAGTTTGCAAGATTCCACAGAGTCATGTACCAAATAAATGGCTGTTTAGAAAGCTAGCGGGCCGTTGAAGGCTCCACTTGGCTGTGAATTCTACGAAGAAAGCAACTACTGTAAATTATATCTCATAATGATAATGTATTACTCGTTGCATTTCCTCGAAACGTCGACATGGCACGCATGTCGACATCGCGAGATCAAAGAGTGAGAATGGATCAAAATTTTTCGATCCTTTAAACATGACGTTACGATGACATAAAGTATATGATATGTTTCTATGTCATTATAAGATTGTAAATATAGAACATGTATTTTTTATCATCTTGAATGATACATTAAATTTGATGATATTATCGAGTTACAATGATGATGCGAGAACGTTTTTTAACGTTGTAATTATTGAACTCTGTTCCCTAAAAATACTAGTACGTAATGTTAATTCACGAATAGTACACGCCAATAAAAAGTGAGGGAAGATTATATATTTCGTAATAATCTATAAGAAAATTCAATAGAAAGTAAATTTATGTAAGCGACATAAAATTTTTCGTTCAAGTCGCCGTTGAGACTTGAATCACAGCCAATTTGTGAATTGTACCTTTTCTTCATATAATATTTTTTAAGCGTATTTCATATAAACACTGTATTGTGATAGTACGATATAATAATGACTAAATAAATACGTACAGGCCTGCCTAGACTTTATTTTATACTTGTGTTATGTTACTTGTGAGGAATGAAAAAAAAAAGTAAAGTATATTTTAATTGTCTTTTCATTGCATCTTGTCTGTATTTATTTGTTGCTTTTCGTCGATAACATACACATACCATATTGGTATCCGGTATATAGGGAGGATACGTCATTACTCTATAAAATAGGTTTTCATATGATTTGTTCAGCTCAAAAAAATGATTTCGTGCTGTATTGAAATTTCAATCATAAAACGCACGTAAATGTTTTGGCATCACAGTTTAAAAACCGTTCAATTCCATTATACATATACATATATATGTATATAACATGTATATATACAATATATATATATATATGTGTATGTGTAGATATACATATGTATATAACATGTAATGTATATACATATGTATATAATTATACCATTCATAACAAGTCCACTTCTTTAAGATGCAACTTCTCATTCGTTACATGAGTCCCTGCTCGTTCATCCTCTTTACTTTGTCGTCTCGAAAGAAAGCGCATTCCTTTATAAAAATACTGTTCAAGGTATTATATTGTATGTTCTATTCCATATCTGCTTTCTTCGGCCAAAAAAGAAATTTTTCTTTTCTTTAAAAGAAACTGTGCTTATCTTCTCAATTGAAGGTCAAGCATTACATATCATCTATGTAATGTATGTACATGCACGTAATGTAGGAATATTGAGATTTAGCTTAGTGATGTTCTTTTTGTTCAGTCATAACCCTTATAATGGGTTTTTTTGCAATTAATACAATTATGTAATATGTTTAAGAAAGTATCTCTCCAAACGATTTGACATAGGCCTCGTGAAGTTTGTTGATGAAATCCGGATCGCTTTTCAACAAATAATTGAATGCTTGTAAAAGTTGATTCCTCGTTAGTGGCTCTAACGGTCGGTTTAAGGATTCAGGTGGGCTAGGAGCAGCAAACATCACAGGTGGTATCAATGCTGGTGCCGAGCCTCTTCCTGACAATGTAGACGCTGCCGGGATAATATCGTCTGACGACTAAATCAGGATACAGAAAGAAAAAAAGAAAGAAAGCAATGACTTTCGAATATACACAAAAGTGCTTAATAAACACAAAAGATAAAATTTTAATTTTCTTACCGTACTTCCGGAAGCATGAGCGAATAATGACGCAAGTGGATTAACATTGTTGGTATTAGTAATATTGGAAACTTGATGATTTCTTAAAGTAGAAGACGTTACGTTGGTTGGCGACTGTATCCTGAGGAATCCAGTCGACGCATTTGAATCGTTAACATTTTGAGTAACAGGTAGCGGTGGCAAATCTTGGGAAATCGGTGCTGATGTGGATATTATCGATTCTTGTTGTAAAGTCGCTTTACTTCGTTTTTTAGACTTGTTTGTGGATGGAATTGTTGTCGGTTGTGACTGATGAGATGGTTGTGGTGTCACAGATCTCTGCTGTTTCTCAATATGTTCTAAAGTATGTGCTGCCGGATGAGACATTAAACGTGCAAGTAAAGGTTTACTTTCGACCACAACTGTATTTCCTGCAGTAGGTTGGTCGCCTGCTTTGAAATGCCCAGTATTCACCTGGTCAACACAAGTGATATAAGAGATAGAGAAATAATATACTTCAAATAGAGCAGCAAAGAGATACAACGCTAACCTTGGCTTTAGCAAAGAAATCCATTACACTTTGGGAAGTGACGTCAGGTCCTAAGGGAACAGCTAGAGGTCCAGAAATATTGTCGGTCATGGGTGTAACCGATGGAGACTTTGATCCTATTATCGTGTTACCGCTATCGCCCTCGCCTCCTCCGCCGCTACCTCTGCTCGTGTTAAAATCCTCTTGTGCCTTGCTAAGCATACTGAATATATCCACGTTATTTACGTTGGGTCCAGAGGTCTTTTTAGCCTTCAGTAATGGTTTGTTAGTGATTTTACGATTTTCTTCACATTCTTTCAAAAGTTTATTTAACATATTTGCGATGCGTACACATTCCTCTTTTTCATAAAACCAAATACCATAGATGTTGCATCTAGAATTTCTATAGAGCAGAAATGGTTCCTGCAGTTGTAAATCTAAACCTGGAGCAACTGGTTCCACTAGATTGTTTGTATTCAATCTGTAACAAATATGTATATGTCGTTTCTATATGACATTTTTAGTATTATTAATATAAGATGGATGTACAAAAGATACTAAACTTGGATAAAAATAATTTACAAATCTCTCGAGTAAACCACTGGCGATGCAAAGTAAAACGTCACACGTTATATTTTTTTAGCTGGTAGATATATAACACCTCGGTATGTACTACCTGTTCATTATGAGAATACTGTTGTATGGCTCGCCATTCCTCGAGTACAAGAACAGAGCACCCTCGATGTCGGTTTTTTCCCATTCATTTTCATCCGCGTTAAATGTATACAGAGCAACGTGGGTCGCAGTTTCCAAAATATCCTTCACGTAGGGGTCAACTCGTTTCAAAGCAGCCACGTTCATTCTCAGCTCGGTTCGATCCGTCATGCTTACAATATTGGTGACGACTATGATGATGATGTTGATGATGATGATAATGATGATTATAATGATGATGATGATGATGACAATAATGATTATGTCGATGATGATAATGATGATGATGATGGATGATGATGATGATGATGATGATGATGATGATTGAAATCAGACGATACGTGAGATTCGACAATTATGAGCAGCTTAGCGTTAGTACAATGATTTCTCTATCTTTTCTCCACCGGCTAATCAACAATGACACACGCAGAGAGAGAGAGAGACAGAGAGAAAGAGAGAGAAAGAGAAAGAGAGAGAGAAAACCGTATTTTCAAATAATCCAAGCAGCTGCTCTCACAATAAACGACACACTAGTTTCTAGGCTGTCGTCATAAGATACTAGGGCTATGTTCCAAAATTTGCTGCCAGTGCTGAAAATGTACAGTATACGTAACGTAAACTGTAGATTTTCAGCGCAGGCAGTGAATTTTGGAGCATAGCTAGATAGCAGACGCTTGCAGCATACTGCAACAGCACAAAAAGAGTTGGCATACAAAAAACTTCAGGCAGTAAAGCGGGAAACACAGACTTTTGCATAACGCATAATACGTAGGACATAAGAACTCTAATAAGAGTTCTTTATTTTATGGAAAAGAAGAAAACGAAGGATTTTGATTGATACATTTTCTTATGCATTACGTGTTATGCGTTAAACCGGTTCTATATTAGTTGCAAGCTGATTACAAGTTTGTTGCGACAACCAATATGAAGCGTTGATTTCAAAATACAAGCTTCATATTGGCTGCCGCAACGACCTTGCGATCGGCTTGCAACTAATGTAGACCCGCCTTTATGCAAGAATCTGTGCTTCCCGCTTATGGTTCTTGCACACCAACGCGATGCAAGAAACTTCTGAAAGTTTCTGCAGAGTTCAACTTGTATATTTAATTTCATTACAAATGTGAAAGTCAGGGGATTGATTCTGTATCTTGAAATAAAAATTATAAAAGTGAAAATTATAAAAGTGAGCGAATTTACTAAAATACTGATTATTTTATTGGTCAACACCTAGTAAATTTTTCGCTTTTAATTTTTACCTTGTTTGAAGATATAGAATCGATCCCCAAAAATATCTTATTACTGACGATTTTTAATTCCCGTGTATGGAAAAAAGTTACTATTGTGATATAGCGCGACAGAATATTCCGTTGCAGATGCTTAAGATCCTTGTTAGATGTAGATATGCTTCTTCTCAAATCGATGCTCAAGGATTCTTTCTTTTATCTGATTAATTTACTCAGTATGTAACTATTAATTTTTTGATCTAGTTTATATTGTTCACTCTTGCCTAGCCATCATAGAGATTGCAATTAAAATTGCGTTCTGTTATTCACTACAAGAAAATTAAAAATTTACGCTACAAATACTTTACAAAACTCTAAAAATTTAAATTACAAAGAAAAGTTCGGTCAGTGATTGAAAACAAAATTCCCTACATTAACTTAATTTCGACAATATTAAATCTCTCTGGTTAAATGCTATCAACGCTAGGATCGTTCGTATGGAGCTTGCTAACGCTATCGTGCTATTGGCTCTACGAACAGCGTTAGTAGCGTTCATAGTGCGAATAGTGTCTCTCCGCATGTACCCAGTATCGCAGCCAATATGGTGGCAAGATTCAAATGTATACCGTCAAAGTGAACAATGTAAGCAATGCTTAAACGCTTAAAGCGTATAAGCGTAAAAACCGAACACAGCCTTAGTCAGAAATCCGATCTGTGTTTAATGAGACGGCATCTTTAAAGGTATTCTACAATGAGTTGCAAATATTGAGTTGCAAATAAACGTTTGTCGCGACAATCAATTAGAAGCGTTAATGGTATTATTTATGCTTCTGATTGGTTGTCGCGATAAACGTTTCAACTGGCAACTGTTTATTTACAACGCATTGTAGAATGTCCTTTAGGATGTCCTTTAGAATGTCCTGTAGAATGTCCTTTAGGAATTTTGTGTGTAACCCTAATCGCGCACGGATGAGCATTAATGTAGAAAAGTGGTAAATTCTCAGTTCATGAAAATTTCCGAGGTAAAGAATCGAAGTCCTTGAGTGTATGTACATATCTATGAAACTGATAAATCATGAAATTACTATTGTATTATTCAAGGTTGGGTAGAAACTAGTTAAAAATTTAAAAAATGTTAAAAAGTTAATAACTTTTAACTTAACTTAGTTAATTTTAAATGCATTATTAAATTTTAACTTAACTAAGTTACTTTTAAACGTTAACTTTTTAACTTTTTTTAAGTTAAAACATTTTTTATCTCTTTTAAATATCTTAGAAAAATAATAAGATACAATAAGACTAAAGGCATATATTCGTAATCTGTTTATATTTTAACCATCTTAAGTAATTTCTTAAGATGCTAATACAGTCATCTGATTGGTTTATGCGGTTATGCCTTATGCCATAAGCCTTAGTCCGGATCTAAAATAGGTGTTTTAAACCTTAAATCATAAGAAATTGACCAATTACAGTCAAATATTCTTCTCGCATTCAATTGTAATTGGTCAATTTCTTATGGCTTAAGACTTATTAAAAAGTAAAAACTTAAAAATCTATCTGGTTATCTGTCGCAAATCGCGCTGGTGTGCCGAAGCCATTAACGCTCATGCGCTTTAAGCACATCAGCGTCTAATGCAGCCATAGTCTATGCTTATTAAATTATATCACATGAGAATAAAAAAATTAAAAATTTAATTTACTTAATAATCTATATTAGTAGTTATTTAATCTCATTTTTAAAAAAATTAGGACATTTTGATATAAAAAATAATTTTTTTCAAAATTAACTTTTTTTTAACTTAAGTTAATTCAACATTGATTTAACTTACGTTAAGTTAATTTTTTATTCCTTCAACTTTTAACTTAACTTTATTAATTTTGTAAAGCCATTAACTTTAACTTTATTCAGTTAAAAAAAACTTACCCAACCTTGGTATTATAGCGTTTTCGGCCCGACCGGGTTTGCACTAACTTAGGTTAGAAAATGCTTCGTTATTGGTTACACGCTCTACCAATAGGAGAGCACGAAACATCATTACTTCACCCAGGTTAGTGTAAACTCGGTCGAGCCGAAAATGCTATTAGTTTCTTACTCTAAAGAGGGGAGTACAAATCCTCGCATAATGCTATAACGTATGAGACATAAGAAAATGAGCCAATCAAAGTGCTTTATTTCCTTCCTTTCCGTGAAATAAAGGACTCTGATTGGTTGATTTTCTTATGGCTCATATTTTATGCATTATGTAAGAATTTGTGCTCCCCGCTCTAATCACTTAAATTTTAACAGGCACACGAATTTCCATAAGCACTGATTGTCTTTAATAGTATTTCGGTGCCTCTTTGAATTAAATGTAAAATCTACATTACTGACAGACAATTATAAATTCGTTCAAAATCTCGAGAAACAAGTGAGTCAAGGTAGCACTTTTTTGATTCCCAGCGAGCTTTTTCGCGCAAGCGAAATAAATTTTTACTATATAATTGTATGTGTGTATACATACACGCATATATGTAATTGGTTTATCAAGAAAATGTGATTTGCAGTTTGCAATATAGGACTTTGCAATTTGCGTAGTAATGTCCTTTTCATTATAACAAGTGAAAAAGTCAAATGGTCAAAGGCTAATCAGAATGACTGATCAAGATACAAACAATAATATTCTTCCGTTACGGGAGAATTTGGTAAATTATCATTGATCACATTGGGTTATGTAAATTAAAAAGTTATCCAAGATATATCCATATTTAGTTATTCTGTAAATTTCTGTTAAATTATGCATGTATTTAATTATGTATATACTAGAAGTAATCCAACATGCATGTACATTATCTTATATATAAATATACATTATTATGAAACTTGTAAAATATTAATATTTCTAAAGGTAAAAACAGCAGTACAGTTTTTACAAAATCCTAAAGTGTTGTCGAGTCCATTGTCGCAAAAGCAGGAATTTCTGAAAAGGAAAGGCCTCACGGATGAAGAGATTAAAACAGCTTTCAAACTAGCATCTGTTGACAATATAGCTGATCGCAATGCTCTTCAGAATCCATATACTTCTGTACAAATACCATCGGAATCTATTCATCCATATCATCAAATGAATGTTTATCAACCGACATTTTTGTCGAAAATTAAAGAATTTTTTAATGCAACTGCATTAATTGGTGTCACAGTATACTGTGCATATTGGTTTTATAAGGTATTTTTTATAGTGCAAAGAAATTGAAAGATTTTATTTTCTTTTATGTATACAAAACGTTGAAAAATTTCTAGTATATTAATTTTGAATTTTCCATGATAATCAAATCTCATATAAAATAAAAATTGTATATATATATATACATATATATATATTTCATTTATTTATATTATTGAAATACAATGCAATTTTTAATTTTGTAGAAATTTATAGAACCCTTTCTGTTTGGTCGGAAAAAGAAAAGGTGTTGCATAGAAGATAAGGTAACCGAACTAGATGAAACCATTCAAAATTCCATGAAAGAAGTGAAAGATTCTATCTTGAAGATAGAAGGTGAAGTGCAAAAATTGACTCGGCATCAAGCATTGGATCCAACTATCCCACAATTAGTGCAAGAACTTAAACATGATTTATCTAGTCTAAAAGCATTACTTTTATCAAGGTATACATATATATATATATATGCACTTTTTCTTTCTTTTTATATAAAGTGTATACAATAAGCAATGCACATAGATTGTCAGTAATAGCAATTTATTGCCATACAATGAGATTATTTCATTTAGACATTATTTATCATTTTATTCTTGTATGTGATATTTGCTTATATTAAAATCATTATTTTTACAAGAGATCAAACATCATCACAACCTCACACTCTCCCATACATATAGTTTTATTTGAAATTGCTTAAGAAATTGATACCTGAATGTTCTGGTAACTTTCATTTAAACATCAGTTTATTTTACAAAATATAACTTCAAAATATAAATTTGTGCATTTTTTCCCATCTTATTCCTATTTTTGACCATCTGCACTTTTTAAGTAATCTTTTATTGCAAACATCTCTCTGATTAGACTATGTATATTTATTTGTCTATATCATGAATTCAATGCACAAAAAACGTTAACTGTAACTGAAAATTTTTATATATTGTCTACAATTATATTTATTATTAATTTTCAATTTTATCTTAAAATAGAAAACAATTTCCTACTGCCCCTGCATCTATACCACCATGGCAATTGGGTGCAACAAATGTAAGCCAAGAAAAAGCAACTGAACGAGAAGACGATGCTGGAAGTGGTAGCAGTACTAATAATTCCGATAGTTCTTTGGAAATGATTCGAGAAGATCCACCTAAGGAATAAGTTTTGAATTCAATCATAATTACTTCCGTAATGATAGTCTTCGATATACGCGATTATTTTGGTATAATGTTGAAAGCAAAAGGATTATAATTTTAATAAATACTACATGACAGATTACAGGGATGCTTGATATTATTTTTATACAGGATGTTTGAAAAGAAAATAATCGAAGAATCTGAACCCTATTTTAGCATCTTGTGCTTATACTAGTTGCATCGATCTGTATTTTTGGTAATATTCATAACTTTGTCAATGTTTTAATATCTATCAAACAATGTTCCATTACAAAGAACTTTTATGTCATTTACCAGAATAACATAGCAAATCAATTGAATAAATGTATTAAACCAATTACAGATCTCCTCGCAATTTTTAATAAAATGTTTTCTTTTTATATGAGAACTAAACAGACTGTTAATAGCTTCTTTAAAAAATTATTTTGATACTTTATTGTAGTACAAATATAAAACAAATGGGAAGAAAAAAACTAGAAAATTTTAAAATGCTTTTTGAAAAAATTTACGTGAGCAAAAGTCATATTTTGGATTTTATAATTGTAAATTACACATCTAGAAACGTTCTGGTAAGCTTGTAAGAATTACGTTTAGTTGCTTTGTGTGGAGATAAATTGTAGATATAAAAAAAAAAGATGTAACAATTCTCTACATCGTGAAATAAATTACTTAATATATATAATATATATGTAAATGTTAATATAAATCTAAAATTAAAAATATCGAAGACACAGTTACAATACAAGGTATCGTGTTTAAGAATCTTGTAATGTTGAAATTTTATATCGAAAATGGAATTGTACTGTATTGCAAATTGAGAAATTAATATACTTCTATATGTAATATCTGTATGTACTACATTGCGGACAGTGTTATACATATGTGTACAGATATAATTTTTGGATAAATAAATTGAAAAATTAACTACTTCCATTTTCCATAGAATACTGTATTGCCCATGACTCATGTCTTGAAAAAAAAAAAAATGATTGTGTATTGTAATAAAGAGAGCACACAAGTTCTACAATATATAATAGAAGAATAGTAACTTTAATTAAAAAATCTTTATTGAAGGATGACTGATATCGCTAAATCTTGTACACATGGGCGTATTGTTCTTCTTTAACTTTTTAACTGTAAATTGAATAAATTGATTTTACATTTATGTATAAATGCACGTGTGTATGTGTGTTTGTGTTTGTGTGTATGTGCGCGCGCACATACATTCAACATACATATATAGATATTAGATGAAGTCCATGTATTGTAACTTATTTATATCGGTCATTCATACAAAAATCAATCATACTTGAGTTGCGTCAACATACAATACATCCGAGTAATATGTACAAACTGTATAATATTCGATATTGTATCACTAACAATAAGCAAACAAAGTACACAAATGTGTGTACATATGTGTGTATGTGTCGTGTATATAGCTTGCTATTATATATCACTTATAAGAAGAGTTCACATGTGATTTCATTTTCTCAGCTTTCACGAGTATGAATTAATAAATGAATTATACACTCAATTATGTAAATGAAATAAATCTGCTTTCCAAATTAGAGAAAAATTTATCTAATTTTAGAAGAGATTTTGATTTCAAAATATAAAATAATAATCTTAAGATTATAAGTCGAGACTTTTCATCTTTCATATTCCCACATTTTTGAATATCAATAAGTAAAGAAAATTGTACACATTATCATATATATTTACACAATTATATACACACGCACATATATATATAATCTGATATATGCAGAAAGGTATAATCATATAGTACAGTTTTTATAACAAGATTTTTTATTATAATTAAATATTTAAATATTTTATTATAAAGCAATACAAATTTACATATAATAAAACAAAAAAGTGTAAGGAATATGAGTATTGTACAAAGAACATTTTTGTATGTATAAATAATTGATTAATTATGTTAAAATTCTTGTAAGGAAAAATGTATAAATTGATTTTGCCTCAATCTTACAATCTCAAGATTATTATTTAAAAATAAGAATTTATGATAATGGCTAATAAATATTTCAACATTACATCAAGATATTTATGAACACATTTCTTCAAAAACGTATTCTCTCTATCTATTTATTTATTTATTAATTGCAACTGATTTATGCGGAGAAAATTAAGGTATCGCTGAGTCACATATTATAACTCTTCATATAAGAGCGCACATTAACGCAATCAATCTTACAGATCATACATATAATATTCCATATCGCGGAAGTCTTGAGGAGAACAGATGTTTACTCTTTCCTGGTTTTATATTAATACTTTTTTTTATTAGATATAACCAGGACAGCTGCCTCACTGATACAGTGAGTTACAGCGAAATCCATTTGACTTAGGTACATCTCTCTCTCTCTCTCTCTCTCTCTCTCTCTCTCTCTCTCACTCTCACTCTATATATACATCCTAGGTTAATAATATACAATAACAAAAGTACTTTATTTCATTGATTCATCTTCCATAATGTGCTGCCGAAATATATAAATAAAAGTTTTAAATATACCTAAAATAAAAAATCCTGCTGGCTAGTGCGGTTCTATCTTATTTTCATATCTTGATCTTTGGCAAAGGCTTACAGAAAAAGTAAAAAAAAATTGCTTTATGATTCTGCACACATGGACTGTACAAGAATTATCCTAGGATGCTTTGTGCTTATGTAATTATACATTGGCTGAATACCATTCCCTTCGGTATTTACTCGTCGCTGTCCGTTCGAGTATAGAAAAAGAAAGACTGAAGAAGGGGAGGGCTCTCTCATTATGCGGGCAGCGACCTAGTGTTGCTATTAATTAATAACAATAATAATCCTAGGCTAGACACACTAACTGAAACTGCTAATAGTTCCAACTCTAGAATATCTAGTATATTGTTCAATCTCGGCTATGCTACCAAGTATGATGTAAGTGTAAATTCCTTGAAAGAACGGATCGTACATCTTCCCAAAACTGGAAGTAAGCTTAACAAAGCAGTGTCTCCCGCATCGCTGAACCATGATTTTATGGGTATCGCGTTGTCTATGACATAAGAAAAAAGATACAATGGTACATATAGTAACGCATTATTATTCTTTTTAATTTTATCCATCACGAAATTATGTGCATTTCTTTTATAATATAAAACAAATCATGAAAAGATACATTTTTACGTCGCAATCTAGAAAATGAAATGCGTAGATTTTCTACTTTCTAAATAGCATATGTATTATGTATTATAGTATGTATCTTTCTTTAAAAACAGAATTCAAAATTATTATTGTTAGTTATTGTTTGCTGAGACAACATTAAATATGGTATCGTAAAGTTTGTTTATTTCTAGAAAGATGAGACAATATGTTAATGACGCATATATACAAATATTATAGTAAAAAATACTACATGCATTTTACAAATTTGTTGGATATTTTAAAGGAAATAGAAATTGATTCTATCATTTCATAAAGTCTAGACGTGAAAGGCAGTAAAAGAAAAAGTAATTCCATTAAAATGATATAAATAATATACTTACGTGGGTAAGCTCTATAAGCTCCTGGGCTGTTATCAAGAATAAAGACTGAAGAGAGATCTGAACAGATTGCTGATAAATCCTTGGTGTAGGAACCCATTTCTGGCGTACAATGTTGTCTATAATATCTGCGTCTTAAAATACCTCTGTTATTATCTAATTTATCTGCAACTGCTGCCCCATATATTTCCATGGATGCAGTAAAAACTACTAGCTCGTACCTAATTGATATAGATAATAGGAAATAATTAATGCAAACTTGTATCGTAAAACATGAGAATAAAACCTAAGTGAAAAATTGTAAAGTTTCGTTGCAAGATAATTTTGGAAGTTAGTCTTTTAAATAGTAGCACATATATATATATATATATATATATATATAGAGAGAGAGAGAGAGAGAATATATGTATACATACTTACCACTGACTAACAATATCCAAGAAAAAATCTACGTGTGGTCTTTTATGGACAAAAAATCTAACAGGATGTCTGTCTATCGTCACTTTAAGAACAAAATCTGGAGGTGTACCAGGCCTGACAGTTGGCCTTGCTACTCCGTCGTGATGAGAGTGAATTAAGGTTTCGTCTAAATCCAGTACTAATACTTTTCTTTTAACTATACCTGAAACATTCTTGCATTAAACATAAATACTGAAAAACATTAAACGCAAGGTAGTACAAAATTCATGTACACATCATTGAAATACTTACTAAGTCTGTGCCTAGATAAAGGTGAAAGCGGGAAGATCTCATATTTGACTGGTTGCATCTGTGAGATCTACAATAAAATGGTAAGAAAAATATATTATTTGTATATTACATTTATAATATATGAAAAAAGTGATCTTCACAAGAAAATTAAAACAGAGATTAATATACCTGCGTTACATAAAATAAACAAAAAAATACTTTTACAATAGAAAACAATGATTGTAATTATAATATCACAATATGGCAATTGCACGAGATGTAAATAATAAAAATATAAATGTAAACAGAATAAAGATTTAGAGTAGTAGATGCATTATTTATCTCGTGTTACGCAAATTAAATTAAAATACAACTGTATACACATGTAAATATCAAATGGCAGCATTAAGTAACTACTTACACCTCTCTAACTTGCATCTTGATTGAAAACAAACACGAGTCACATGTAAAAAAATGAATATTTCTGAAGGGAGTGATTAATGTATAATCCATTATTTCAAAATTATAACTTAAAAGATTTGAGACTCAGCTAAAAAAAGAAAATAAAACTGAGTTCTTTTTATAAATAAAGAATAAATTTTCATCCTATACATAACAATGTTAAATCTATTTTTTTAAAATGAAGAAAAAATTGAGAAAAATTGTTGCTATTATAAAATAATATTTTTCAGATAATTGTTACAATATCAAATTATATAGATTGAATTTTATAGATGAAAAGAGATGAAGAGATTCGTGCAAAGTTGTGTGAAAGCAGCAAATTACCACTACTATCATCGAAGAGTCGTTACATCAACGAATGTCAATAATATCCACATATCGTGATAAAAGTAGAAGATGAGAAAACGATTCGTCGATTAGATGATTGATAAGTATATACACAATATGACATCTCCATGCATCGTGCCTGACTGTGGAAGAAGGCGCGAAGAGAGGCGCGATTCGCGAAGCGAATCTATAGCACCTACTTACGGCTCTAACCTGCTTCTTGAGTAGAAAGCAGATGCAGGTCCACACACGGGAGGCCATTAAGAGGAAAGCTCTCATCCCCATCTGCAATTGCTTCAGCATCTCTACTGTTCTTCTCACCGGGCCCAAGTCCGGCAACACTTAATCTCCAGTGTCGAATGTGTCCGTTGCGGGTTCGTGATCCTATTTTTCTTTCCCACCGCTGCACCGCCGCACCGCTCACTGCAGTAGACTGACAATGAGTAGATAGAGTGATCAGTCTGATCTGTGATCGAGTTGGAGTCGCGAGTCGCGAGTCGCGATGCCTGCGGACCGCCTGCAAGGCGGTCTAGAATCGCGACGGCGATGATCGACGACAGCCGAAAACCATAAGAGACAGCTTCTTCTCTCGTTGCCGCTTATCGTAAACAAATTCGTCAACAATGCCACGATCGAGCTGATATTTGACGCGAGTAAGCGAGCGCGCAGTTTTTTTTACGACGGGTCGCGTCTCGCGTATGTTTACGCACCTTACCGTTGTTCTTTCATGTTTTTCACAAAACTCAAGTACGAGCTACGGTACGAGTCTTCTTACGCGCATCACGCAACGGCCGCCATCTTCCGCGCATCGACCCAATTTTTCCGTGCGCACTACGCTCCTCTCGCGCCTCGCGCCTTTTCAGTTTTCGCCGCTTTCCTTCTCGATATCGAATCCTCGAAACGTCGAAAGCGATCGAAAGCATCGGAGGCTTCTTTTCTCGGAGACCGGAACCTTTGAAATACTATATCAAGACGTCGACATTAGATAAATATCCTTTTTCAACGTTACGTGAATATCGCTTATCTACATATCTATCGCAATCGTCTATGATATAATATACACATATATATATATAATATAC